GGGGGGGGGACACCCCGCCCACAAAGTGCCTGTTTCGGGCCGACGTGATGACATCACCTGGAAGGGACGTCATCACGTTGGGCACGTTACCGGCTGACGCTCTAGCAATCAGCTTGAAAACTCTATGGTACCATAGAGTTTCCAGGCTGATTAGCATCGGCCTGCAACGTGCCCAATGTGATGACATCACTTCCGGGTGACATCATCACGCCGTGTGCACGCAAATCTCCCGGACCAGGACTAACTCTCCCCTGCTGTACAACGTGACTTCGCAACCCTACTCCCGCGTGGTGCTGGGATTTGTGCTCACGTAGCGAAGGAGACACACTCTAACACATACACAGCTACCCGAGTCCACAGAACAGTCGAGTGAAGTTCACTGCCACCAAATGTGGTGGTGACCCCTACTGCAAATGAGTTTTTAAAAGCCCAATGATTGGTCCATCGATGGCTTAGTGTTAAAACAAAATGGAAGATGTGGGGATTTTGGGAGTAGACTGAATCGTATAACCAGTGACTTGGGTTGCAGGCCAAATTTAAGTTAAAAGCCTTTCTCGTCTGTCATTCTCCTTGGACAAGCTTCTTTGTTTCTCTGGGCATTGAGCATTTCGTCCTCCCCCACCCCCCGTGCCCAAGTGGCTTCACTGCTACTGGACAGTAGGAGCTGCACGTTTGAACCATGCCTTGGAACCCCCAGGCAGGTGAGACTACAATGCGATTTTGTGCAATGAGGTTGAGAACAGTCCTAGGCCAGTATGACTCCAAACAACTTGGTGTTCAAAAGGGATAATTTGACTTTCTTTTTCTGTGGTACAGGAGAGAAATAGGAACTCTGATCAACGGGCACCGTAAAGCTATTGCATCAAAATGAGTTTCTATGCAATTGCTTTTCTTCATGACCATCGGAAAATCTGCACCCCAAGAGCTCTTTCCAGTGCGGTGGGGGTGGACTTGTGGTGGGGTTTTCATGGCAAGGGGCGTTCACAGGTGGTTTGCCGTTGCCTGCCTCTGCTTACCAACCCTGGACTTCCTTGAAGGTCTCCCAACCAAATACTAGCCAGGGGTGACCCTGCTGAGCTTCTGAGATTTGAGAAGATTGGGCTAGCCTGGGCTTATGGTTAGGTCCCCTTCCAGTGTAGCCAATACAAATCATAACAACAATACAACAACCCATAGAAATGACCTCACCTCATTAGAAAAGTCATAGAATCATAGAGTTGGAAGGGACCTCCAGGGTCATCTAGTCCAACCCCCTGCACAATGCAGGAAATTCACAAATACCTCCCCTTCCACACCCACAGTTACTGTGGTTCCATGCCCAGGAGATAACAAAAAACCTCCAGGATCTCCAGCCAAACTGGCCTAGAGAAAATTGCTTCCTGACCCAAAAGTGGCGATCAGCATTTCCCTGGGTGCGTAAGAAAGGGCCACGAGATCTAAGCACTAATGCAACCCTTCCTATTTCACCCAGTGGCCAACCAGTTCCTCTGGAGGTTCAACAACAGGGCGTAGAGGCTGAGGCCTTCCCCAGATATTAAGAATATAAGAAGAGCCCTGCTGGATCTAGTGTCAGCAAGCTGCCATGGTGTTCTGTGTTGCTGGTACTTCGGTACAGTTGTTCCTCCCCATCCCCCTCCTTCCCTGCCTGTGAGCTGTTATTGTATTCTGCTGTAATGCATAAGCCAAACAACTGGAGGTCGTCTTGTGGGAGTTCGCTTCATTGCTGGCTTGTTGCTTTTAGAGCCTGAGAACTGCACCTGTATATGTCTGGAGATAACTGAGTTCCCAGGGAAAGGGCGCGCAACCGTTTCCCCTCGCCCGCCAGCGGGAATGTGACCCATTGGTTCTGTATCTGTTTCAAATCCCTTTATTATGCTTGCCCTTATGGTTTGTAGTCAGTTCTAACAAAGAACGTGTTTGAGTGTCTTTCCAATGCTTTGAAATAAATTTTGCTTTTCTCGAAAACGTGGATTTATTCTCGATGCTTGGGGATCCAACATCTAGTAATAAAATCATAGAGTTGGAAGGGACCTCCAGGGTCATCCAGTCCACCCCCCTGCACAATGCAGGAAATTCACGAATACCTCCCCCTCCACTCGGAAGGCGCTTGACAAGAACACACACACACAATTCTTTGTTCCTCACTTCTGAACAATCATCTTTGTTTGGCTTGGCATCAAAACAGCATGTAAACACATATACAGGGGTTCCGAAGTAGGACATGCAGATATGGACAGATCTACTTCAAAATACAGGATTACGCTAGCTCATGCCACAATGCTACTTTGTTTGGTATTGTAAAAAAAGAATGATAATCCAAACACGGTCACCCAGGAGGAAAACTAGAACACAGACCCACAGCGACAAACCTGGGCTGCAGAGATGTGGGACCAGCTTTGCTCTTTTCGGTTTCATGTGTGATTAAATCCGCTGGTCCGGTGGAGAGGCCGGGGATTGAACCTGGGACCTTCTGCATGCCAAGCAGATGCTCTACCACTGAGCCACAGCCCCCTCCCAAAGATGGAACACCATCTTGTAAAATGGAGTACAGGCTGGTGAGGGAAATCGAAGGCTGCCTTCTCCCTTTCCTTGCCCTTATGGCCTGGGTTTCACAACCCTCCTCCTTCCATTTTTGGCAGAGAGAATGCCACACTGTCTCCACTCTAAATGCCAGTCAGCAGGCACAAACGGAATGACAGATGGCTCTCTCCTCGCCAGCCTTAAAGCACAACACATCTCTGTTTTTAGGAATCAGCGACCAGACGTGAAATTCTTTCTAATCCCCGATTCCCAAAGGGGGTGTCTCATTTTAACGTGCAGTCTGGGGACAGTCAGCATAAGAGACAGACGCGTCGTCCCACATCCCGCGTTTTAGTCACAACTCCTGTCAGTTACGGGCGCCGAACTTCACAAAGCAGGACAGAGGTTTCGAGTTTTAGGAACCGCACCTGGTACAAAGAAGTAACAGGACTTACAGTTTACTACAGACGGATCTGACCTCACAAGGCTGGACAGTGTGAGATTGTGGGCAGCAAGAATACGGGGCGGGGGGAGGAGAGAGGGCAGTGTACAGAGGTCGGGGACACCCCCCCCCCAATTTACTGACATGCACATTGTCCTGGGAAGGAAACTTCAGAGAACACGTGGGTCAAAATACGGCCCAGTAGCAGTGGTGATCTGTACAGAATCCATCAACTGGCTCGAACGTTGGGGAATCATCCCCGCGAGGGTGTTGTCATTCCCACATAACAGAACTCTCTGCTCCCGTGAAATTGAGTGGCCAGCAGCGTCGGGTGCATGGGAGAGCTGTGATTGGACTGGGACAGGAATGAACCAGGAAGCGCTGGGCCTAGGGTTGTCATTCTCCAAGTGGCACTTGGAAATCTCCTGCTGTTACAATTGATCTTCGGACAACCAAGATCAGTTCCCCTGGAGGTTGGACTCTATGGCATTAATACCCTGCTGAGGTCCCTCCCCTCCGCAAACCCCGCCCTCCCCAGGCTCCACCCCCAAATCTTTAGATATTTTCCAACCTGGAACTGGCTACCCCAGCTGCCCCTCAAACTTCATGATGTTTCTCTTTCACTCCGGCTGCACCAAGACAGACCAGAAGGCTCCTGATTTATAGCAAACCGCAGTTTGTTCTTGTGAGCTTTCTCAGAGGCACCTGATGAACGAATGCAGGCGGCTTCCCAGGAAAGAGACTCCACAGTGGTGGCCCCTGAGACGTTCTCCTGGGACAACCCTTGCCTGATATCTCGGCACGAAGCTCGTTTCAGTTCAGCTTTTCCTTCAGTTACACGGTTTGCTGAGCTGGATTTCTTTGCTTCGTTAACCTGCCTTCCCTACCTCTACAGCCTTCTGCTATTTCGTATTTCTAACTCCGGTTGCTTCTGGGATAGCGATCCTGGTTATTTTCATCGCTGTAGGTTTGGCTTCGGCCAACTGTTTTGTCGATGCTCATGTAATTTGTTTGGATTGTTTTAGGGGATGGTTTCATTGCTTCAGATTGGATTTCTAATAGCGCGAGTCAGCTTGAACATATCTCGAAAAAGGCAGAATATATATAGATACATATATATATATCGTAAATAAACAAGCAGCTCGATTTGAGTCCAGCGGCACCATACAGACCAACAAGATTTTCGGGGTATGAACATTTGAGAGTCAAAGTTGCCTTCTCAGAGACCTCTGGATTCTAGCAGATACCTGATGAAGGCATCTGACGAACGGAGCTTAAACTCTTGAAAACTCTTGTCCCGAAAATCTTGGTCTCTAAGGTGCTACTGGACTTGAATCTGGCTGTTTCACTGCAGACCAACAAAGTTACACTCTGAAATTTAAACGAATGAATGACAACCTTGCTAAGATTTGGAAGTTGCAAACTAACTGTGGTTTGTTCCCAACCAGGAAGTCTTCTGTCTTATCGCATTGAATGAAGAGCAGGGGTAGGAAAAACACGGGTCAAACGGCTTCTGTATCTCAATCTTGTCCCATCAACCAACCAACCAACCAACCAACCAACCAACCAACCAACCAACCAACCAACCGTGGTTTCTTCCTGTCCAAACACGAGTCCTTTTTTCAAGGGATTGGGGCTGTAGGAGATAGTATCTAAATCACAACACCCAAGAGGCCCCAGTTCACATTCGAGTTTCAGTTTCAAAAGCAGCTTGCGTCCGGAGGCTCAGCTTACAAATACCGATGGAGTGCAGGTTGTTCAGCAGCGCTGTGGCTAATCAGTGTCAAATAAATTAAAGGGTTCCCCCCACTTAAGAAAATTCCAGTTCTGCAGACAGCGCAGCTGCGGCCTGACCCATCCAGAGCCGTGTGGCTATGCTACTCCAAAACCACTGCAACGGCTCTTCGCGCTCTGGAGCACCATCAAAAGGGACGGAGACCACATCTGGGTGCAGCCCTTGGCCGATCGTATTGTCGTTCGCGAGCAGCGATTTCTCATCTTTCCCTCTTTGCACAGGGACCAAGCGTTCAGACGGGTGCTCTGCATGGCTCTGCTGCACCTTCAAATTACCTGGGGCAGGCGAGATAGAGGAAAATGGGAGGGGAAGTTCGTGCCACGGCCAGTCTCTCTTGAACAGAGGCCCGTCAACACTGAACGGCATTTCTGTCCACCCCGGGGTCTTCGTCCACCAAGAGCATGGACTGTGGAAGGTCGCCTCTTTCTTCGCTCTCTCTGACTTTGGAATTGGTAGATTCAACCAGATGATCTGCCGCTGCTTCCTGGGATGTCTTTTTGGAGAATTCGGTAGCGTTCCCTCGGATGCTAATGTGGTCCCATCCTGCAAGAGAGAGAGTTTAAATCCATGGTTCAGAGTTCACACGGAGGACGTGGCAGCTGGACCTGGGCATGTTTTAGCAATAGAAAAAGCTCACCCACCTAGTAAAACAGGAGTTTGTTGACCTAATTTCATAAGGCACGAATGCTTTTCCTTGAACGTACTGACGTTCCAAGCCCGCTCTTCAGTTTGCATTTCTTAAAGCAGGGCTCCCCGACCTTTTTGAACATGTGAGCTCCTTTGGAATTTTGAAACTGTGTGGTCCGTGCAGCCACAGAATGGCTGCCGCAGGAGGCAGATCCAGCCCCAGAATATCAGGGAATGAGGTCATGCCCTATGTGGCCCTTGCCGTTTTCTAAAAACACTTGGCGAGCACCAGGAAAGGTGTCGGAAGGCACCATGGTCACAGTCACGACCACTTTGGCGTAGCACTGCTCTGTGTGTCTATCATGGCGAATAACTTCATTGCTGGATCTCGATTCAGAGGCGGGAAACAGGTCTATTGTTTGCTGCATACTTGGATGGCTTGGACACAGAACTTAGCTATTAACAATGCTCCCTCTACGCTGCGGAGTCTTGTGAGCAAAAATCCTACTTTGTGAGCTACTGGCGTTAAAGCTGTGAGCGAGCGATCTGGCTGCTGTATAATTTAGTTTGCTCTGAAGCCCTCCTCATTGAGCGAAGGCAAAAATGTGTGAGCTGGAGGCTTTTTATTCACCTGGCACGAGGCATGGGACCTTTCTGTTATTGTTTATTGTGCCATCTGTTGTTTTATCGCTTTTATTGTTTTATGATTCTTGTGTTGTAAGCCTCCCTGAGCCCACTCACGTGATAAGGCAGGGTATAAATTAACAACAACAACAGCAATAATATCAAAGGGCTTGGATCCTCCGTTTGGAACAATCCAGGCTCCGAAGGTCACTCACCCCAATGCCGTAGTCCCAGGACTGCCCTTTGGGCTCCATCGGCTGGACTCCGGTCCGGTGACAGACGGTCCCGCAACTCAGGCTGTGGCTCCCCTGCACTTTGTCGGCAATCACCCAGACCTACGGGACAGAGATGCAAGAGAGCAGCTAGAAGAGTGATTACAATATGGAAATCGCTGCCAGAGGATGTAGTGAGGGCCATGGGCACAGATCGCTTTGTAAGGGGATTGATATAGGTGCATGAAGGAGAAATATCTCTGTGGCTAACAGCTATGGAGCAGATAGGGAACACTTTCCCTATGAAGAAAGGTTAAAACGCTTGGGGCTCTTTAGCTTGGAGAAACGACGGCTGAGGGGTGACACGATCGAGGTTTACAAGATTATGCATGGGATAGAGCAGGTAGAGAAAGGAGTACTTTTCTCCCTTTCTCACAATACAAGAACTTGTGGGCACTCCATGAAATTGCTGAGTGGTCGGGTTAGAACAGATGAAAGGAAGTACTTCTTCACCCAAAGAGTGATTAACACATGGAATTCACTGCCACAGGAGGTGGTGGCAGCTACAAGCATGGACAGCTTCAAGAGGGAATTGGATAAATATATGGAGCAGAGGTCCATCATTGGCTATTAGCCACAAGGTATAGGTAGGAACTCTCAGTCTGTATTCTTGATGCTTCTAGTATCCTGGCCCCACTGCTGGACCTCCTGGTGGCCCCTGGTATTTTTGGCCACTGTGTGACAGACTGTGGGACTGGATGGGCCATTGGCCTGATCCAACATTTGCTTCTCTTATGTTCTTATGACTAAAGGGAACCTCCATGTTAAGAGGCACTGATCCTCTGAATACCAGTTGTAGATGGGATTGGGCTACATGGACCCACACTGGTCTGATCCATCAGGGCTCTTCTGAGGTTCTTATCATGGGAAGGCCTCGGCCTCTATCTCCTGTTGTTGGCCCTCCAGAGGAACTGGTTGGCCACTGTGTGAGACAGAAAACTGGACTAGATGGACCACTGGTCTGATCCATTGGGGGAAGGCCTCAGCATCTATGCCTTGTTGTTGGACCTCCAGAGGAACTGGTCAGCCACTGTATGAGGCAGGATGCTGGACTAGATGGACCACTGGTCTGATCCATCAGGGCTCTTCTGAGGTTCTTATCGGGGGAAGGCCTTGACCTCTCTGCCCTGTTCATAGGACCTCCAGAGGAAATGGTTGGCCCCTGTTTGAAACGAGATGCCAGACTAGATGGACCACTGGTCTGATCCAGCAGGGCTCTTCTGATGTTCTTAAGCACCACCCTATACTCCTGCAAAATTTCAGAAAGGAGGACTGCTTTCAGCACTACTAGAATGTCTATGTGGGAGGGAGATACTGTATGTGGAAACTGCCACATTATCCCGTGTTCAGGTAGTCATGCATGTAGACCGCATGTGGCAGGTTTTTGTTCAGGGTGGTGAAAACCAGTGAGGATTGTGAGGCACTCCAAAGGGATCTGTCAAAGATGGGCGAGTGGGCGTCAACATGGCAAATGGGGTTCAATGTGGCCAAGTGCAAGGTGATGCACATTGGAGCCAAAAATCCTAACTATAAATACACGTTGATGGGGTCTGAACTGGCAGAGACAGATCAAGAGAGAGATCTTGGAGTTGTAGTAGATAACTCACTGAAAATGTCGAGACAGTGTGTGACTGCAATAAAGAAGGCCAATGCTATGCTGGGGATTATTAGGAAGGGTATTGTAAACAGATCAGCCAATATCATAATGCCGCTATATAAATCAATGGTGCGACCTCATCTGGAATACTGTGTGCAATTCTGGTCACCACACCTTAAAAAGGATATTATAGCTTTGGAAAAAGTGCAGAAAAGAGCAACTCGAATGATAAAAGGGTTGGAACACTTTCCCTATGAGGAAAGGTTAAGGCGCTTAGGGCTCTTTAGCTTGGAGAAACGACGACTGAGGGGTGACATGATTGAGGTTTATAAGATTATGCATGGGAAAGAGCAGGTAGAGAAAGAGGTACTTTTCTCCCTTTCTCACAATACAAGAACCCGTGGGCACTCCATGAAACTGCAGAGCGGTCGGGTTAGAACGGATAAAAGGAAGTACTTCTTCACCCAAAGAGTGATTAACACTTGGAATTCACTGCCACAGGAAGTGGTGGCGGCTACAAGCATGGATGGCTTCAAAAGGGAATTAGATAAGCATATGGAGCAGAGGTCCATCAGTGGCTATTAGCCACAAGGTATAGATAGGGACTCTGGGGCAAGTGATGCTCTGTCATCTTGGTGCTTGGGGGGGGGGGTCAACAGTGGGAGGGCTTCTAATGTCCTGGCCCCACTGGTGGACCTCCTGATGGCACTGGTATTTCTGGCCACTGTGGGATACAGAGTGTTGGACTGGATGGGCCTTTGGCCTGATCTTCTTATGTTCTTAACAATACAGACACATCACAATAATATTCAGCAAGAAAAATACAGTCTGCAAACCAGAACAAAGATGTAATATATTAATACTCCACTGAATACATGAACAATAGTAATCAAAACTTAATCACTAGTAAAGAATAGCTTAGAGTACAATAGTAAAGGTAAAGGTTTCCCTTGCCAGTTTGGTGTAGTCGTTAAGTGCACAGACTCTAATCTGGGAGAACCGGGTTTGATTCCCCACTCCTCCACTTGCACTTGGCTGGATGACCTTGGGCAAGTCGGAGTTCTGATAAGAGCTGTTCTTGAAAAAAGAGCAGTTTCTGTCAGAGCTCTCTCAGCCCCACCTACCTCACAGGGTGTCTGTTGTGGGGAGAAGGGAAAGGAGTTTGTAAGCCGCTCTGAGACACCTTTGGGTAGTGAAGGGTGGGGTATATATCCAATCTCTTCTTCTTCTTCTTCTTCTTGCTCGGCAGCCAGTCGAATTCGACTCTAGGGGGTGGTGCTCATCTCTGTTTCCAAGCCGAAGAGCCAGCGCTGCCCGAAGACTTCTCCGTGGTCATGTGGCCGGCATGACTAAGCACCGAGGCACACGGAATGCCATTACCTTCCCACTGAAGCAGTACTTATTTATCTACTTGCAATTTCTTGCTTTCGAACTTCTAGGTTGGTAGGAGCTGGGACTCGGGTCTCGAACTGCCAAACTACAGACCGTCCAGTCTACAGATTCAGTGTGTTATCCCCTGAGCCACTGCGTCCCCAATTTAAAAGTACAATAGTCTGTCTTTAAAATTTATCATAATCCAAGATCGACAACTAATTGAGGAATTTCATTTTGAGAAGACAAGTATTCAAGTATAAGAAACCATATAGTGGAGAAATAAGAGTGTTGAGAAGGCCTAGTTATAGTATCCAGATTGTCCGTGAGTTTCGCCATGATGCATAAGTTCCATAGCCTTTGATGCCATTGTGAGAGAGTAGGAGACAAAAGCGTGCAATTCAGTGCCACACTAAGTGGTGGCAGCTACAAGCACAGACCGCTTCAACAGCGGATTGGAGAAACATCTGGAACAGACGTCCATGAGTGGCTATTAGCCAAAAGGTATAGATGGAACACTCTGTCCGGGGCACTGATGCTCTGTCTTCTTGGTTTTTTGGGGGGGGCACAGTCGGAGGGCTTCTGGTGTTCTGGCCCTACTGGTGGACCTCCTGTTGGCACCTGGGTTTGGGCCACTGTGTGACACAGAATGTTGGACTGGATGGGTCATTGGCCTGATCCAGCATGGTTTCTCCTATGTTCTTAAGAGCAGAGGCCCATGAGTGGCTATTAGCCACAAGGTATAGATAGGAACTCTCAGTCCGGGGCAAGTGATGCTCTGTATTCTTGGTGCTTGGAGGGGGGCAACATGAGGGCTTCTAGTGTCCTAGCCCCAGTGCTGGACCTCCTGATGGCCCCTGGTATTTTTGGCCACTGTGTGACAGAGTGTTGGGCTGGATGGGCCACTGGCCTGATCCAACATGGCTTCTCTTATGTTCTTATGTCTGGGGCAGGGATTGCTCTGTGCTTGGAGGGCAACAGGGGGAGGGCTTCTGGAGTTCTGGCCCCACAGGTGGACCTCCTGACGGCTCCTGGGTTTTGACCATTGTGTGACACAGAGTGTTGGTCCGGATGGGCCATTGGCCTGATCCAACATGGCTTCTCTTACGTTCTTATGACATTATCAGTCCACTTTCCTGGATACGGAAATCATTTCATAGTTTTATTTATTTATTTATAGGTTCGATTTGTAGCCCCCCCTCCCCGCTGCGCAGGCTCAGGGCGGCTTACAATCGGGCACAAGCCCATACATAAAAGATATTAAAAACCATTTAAAATCTCTACAATATAATACCCTTGTTAATTAACAGTAATAACAATAATAATAAGTGCTCTAGGTATTCTAATCTTCCACAAGATGGCGTATAACAGCTGTTCTACCGACTCAGCGTCGTCTGTTCTGGGAAACACTGACGCTGACATTCTTTCTTCTTCTAGGGCCAGGTAATGGTGGTACAATAATGATGGTAATGGTGGTAATGGTGGCGGCCCCTACTCGTATGCCTGGCGGAAGAGCTCCGTCTTGCAGGCCCTGCGGAACTGTGCAAGGTTCCGCAGGGCCCGGATCTCCTCTGGGAGCTCATTCCACCAGATAGGGGCTGCCACCGAAAAAGCCCTGGCCCTAGTCGCGGCCAGCCTGGCCTCCTTGGGGCCTGGTATCACCAGGAGGTGTTGTGTCCCCGACCGTAGAGTTCATGGGGGAACATGTGAGGAAAGGCGGTCCCTTAGGTATGCATATAACTTCTGCATTAGTTCATTTCAAAAGATTATAGGAAAGCCATGCAAATAAATAGGTCTGTTTGGTTTGCAACTTCTCCAAGTACATGTCAGTTTCCTCATAAGGGGGCAGGAACAACCCCCTTTAAAATACATTTGGAAACATGGACTAGCATACATCCAAATGCTGTACACATATTTCAGCTCCTCTGCCCTCCACATCCAATGCCAAATGGACATGAAATTACACTTTTTCTAAAGAAGAAAGAGAGGTGATATTGTTATTAGAGAAAGTCTTTAAAACATGCAAGCTTTCAAATTACACAAAATACAAAAGGAATACTCATCATGCCTAGCCAATTGTTTTAATCGGATGTACTAATTCTATGTACTAAAGGTGCTCTGAAAGAATTTGATAGCTTGCACAGCTTACTTGTTCTGGTAGACCATTGTTTAAAATAAAATTAAACAAAATCAGCAAAGATTAAAAACAGGCAAATCTGCTGTTTTGGCACCAACACATCTGTTCTCCAAGGAAGCAGTTCTTTTGGACACTAAAACTGTGTGCCAGGGAAACAGCATCGGGGAAAGAACTGCCCCTTGAGGCACCCCACATTCAAGGGGGTGTCTTCGGGACTGCTGTTCCCCTATCACCACCCTTTGTCCCCGACCATGGAGAAACGAGGCAAGCCATTGAAGGGTAAGCCCCTGAATTCCCACGTCGGCGACTAGGAGTTTAGACTAGGAGTCTGCAACTTTGTAGAGCCTGTGAGCACCTTTGGAATTCCGAAACCGTGTGGCGGGTGCAGCCACAAAATGGCTGCTGCAGGAGGCGGAGCTAGCCCTGGCTTACCTTCAGTCACACAGGGAAAATCCTTCTGCTGTGGTGGCAGTGGCAGCAGAAGCAATTTTTTTTTTAAAAAAAATCTGCCTAGCCAATCCATGGCCAATCAGAAGCCTTGCTAGGCAAAAGACCCACTTGGCCCTGCCCACTTTCTAAAACCACAATCCTCTCACATATTTGCAGTTCCTTCCTTGTTCTCCATCACTGACAGTGGTGACCATGATGAAGAGAGCCAAGAGGAGTTAGCAGTCCTCACCGTTTTTATCCACTGCAAACACGGCGGTCCTCCCGACGGAAACTTGCTTTAACTTCTGCTTTGGAGGAGCGCGGATGTGGTACCAGCAATCCCCTGCACGACGACAGAAGCATTTTTTAAAAATGAGCGGACAGACGCATACACAGTAATTCAACTGGCTGAAGGGAAGTGCCGTGTTCTGATATATAACCTGAGCTGTATGAAATACCTGAATGCAAAGAACCAGGAAGAAGAATTATTCCCCCTTTTCTAAAGGCTTCACCTTAGCCTGGGTGTGTCAAAGTTTAGGAGCTAAGCTGCATCGGCCTTGGTCAGCACTTGGATGGAGACTCCCAAGGAAGTCCAGGGTTGCTCTGAAGAGGAAGGCGATGGCAAACCTCCTCTGCTCCTCTCTGGCCTGGAACACCCCGTGGATGAGTCGGTTGAGGCTTTCCAGCATGTTCTTCTTTCCTAAGGGCTTAAACTAGCTCACATCATCCTTGTCTTTTAAAAATCCCTGCCGTTAGAAAGTTAGCAGGTCAGGGGGAAAACCTGGCTATGTGCTTTCTCCATTGCTTACTTTCTACGTGCGGGGAATGTTTTTGTACAGAGGAATGTCCACTTGAACAGACCTGCAGTTTGAAACGGTGTAGCAATGCTCCCTCTAAGCTGTGGAGTCTCGTGAGCAAAAATCCTACTTTGTGAGCTACCGGCATTAAAGTTGTGAGTGAACGATTTGGCTGCTGCATAATTTAGTTTGCTCTGGAGCCTTCCTTCCTGAGCTAAGACAAAAATGGGTGAGTTGGAGGCTAAAAAACTGTGAGCTAGCTCACACTCACTCAGCTGAGAGGGAACACTGGCCCAGAGATAAATTTACCACCTCAGTGATAACTGGTCTGCAGCCAGTTCAGGGGGAGTCCAAATGCTCCAGTGCGAGGGTTGCCAACTGCCAGTGGGGAAATCCCTGGAGAT